ATTGGAAAGCAAAATAACTATCAAATGCAAAGTTAATGTTAAAGAAGAATTACTCATAAATGAATTTTAATTCTTGGAATTTAGTTTTCTATAAATTTTGATATCAATATATATATTTTATGTCTGTAGGATTTAACTTTTTAAATTTGTTCATTATTTGTCATTTCTTCTAATTATACTATTCCATTATCTATAGTATATACTCTATATACTACATACTTAGACTCTATACTTTTCTCTTTTTGATATATTGCTATTAGTCATTAAGAAATTAATATTAGTCAGTTCGTGTAAATTAATTATACTTATGAAAATTTTTACAATATGTTTGTGTAGTTGTTATATATTCTGATCATTCAGTAATTTATATTGATCGTTCCTTTTAAGTTTAACATTTTATTGTAAATGCTTCTACGCAATCTCTGTTTAGTTGTTAAATATTATTGATCATTAAGTAATTCATATTGATCGTTCCTTGTAAATTTATCATACCATTGTGAATACTTTTTTTTAGTTACTTATAATTGTAAAATTATAATACTTATTATTGTGTATATATTGATTATTACATTTATAAAAATTTTAATTGTTATGTAAAAATGTTTGTGATATATTTGAAAATATATTTTGTACTTCGTATATTTTTTTTCTCATTTCTAATATAAGAAATTATTTAGGTTTTCTTATTTTGAATTACGTATGCGAACCATATCTAGGAATAATACCAGCGGTTGATTTATATACTGAACAAGTGCTGCCTCCTTTAGATCGCTAAAAATATTAAAATGGAGGTAATGTCAAATGGCCTCAGATAGCGATCTATTTATGTTTACTTATCTATGTGCAGAGTGTTCTCCTAGACATATATCAGATTGCCTTTCTCTCCTTATATCACTGTGAACTATAGACATGAGAATTATTCTGTGAAATATAATTGGACATTTCTAATTTGTTCACTTTATAAAGTCGGAAAGAAGTGCATTTTTATATTATTTCTGAAGTTACCACAGTTAGTGCGTTACATTTTGTTATATTAAATGTCACATAAATGCTTGCTTGAATACAATTAATTAAGCCGGCCACAGACGTAACTGTATACTTGCGCAACCTGCGACTTGCGCATGTATTCTGTAGCGTCTGTGGAGTGTTTTTTGCGCAACTTGACAGACTGGTGCAAGCGAGTAGGCATGAGCACTTTTTCATTATTTTAATTGCGCAATCATTCAAGTCGACAAGTTCATTCGTTGGCCGCGTGTGGCAGCACATATCCCGTTTTTATTTTACTTTGTAGCGAATTCATAATACAAGTTTATGAAGTTATCGACAATTAAAAGTTATTAAATTAGCCCTCTGAACACTTTGAATTCTCTTCTGATGCTGTAAATACATAAATTAATAAAAAAGATATATTTTTAGGTTATGTTTTGACATTTATTATTTGACATTTGTGATATGCTTGCGCAAGTACTTGAACATAAACTTGAACCGTCTGTGGGCGCTGTAAAAATACGCCTGGTTGCGCATTCATTCAGTTGCGCAAGTATACAGTTACGTCTGTGGCCGGCTTTACAGAAACAACATGCGAACCACACACTTTGATACAAAACGGCGAGCAAATCTTTGTAAGTTTGACGTTTTTCATATTTTGAAACCAGTAGCGACATCACTTTTTCGCTGAAAATAGTAATCCTTTTCGAAACAGGGTAATATACATAGATAAACAAGTATAATAGATCGCTATGTCTGGCGGTTTGACGTTACCTCGATTGAAATACAAATTTTTAAAAATAGATGGCAGCACATGTATAATATTTAAATTACCCCTGGTTTTACTTCTTAATTTGTACGTATCGTATACAGCCCCAAAAACCTGAATAATTTTTAATATTGGAAATAAGAACAAATCATACGAAATACAAAATATATATTTTCAAAGATATTACATATGTTTAAAGAACAATTAAAATTATGTTTATATTAACAATTATAATTACAGTTATGGAATGTTTGAAAATATAATTATTATTATACATAATTATAAAAGTATTATAATTTCACAATTATGCTTAAATAATATTTCAAAAACTAAATATCTAAGTGAAGAAAATCACAGAAGTATTTAACTAAACTAAGCACAAATAACTGACTAATATTGATTACTTAATGACTAATATTAATATATTAAAATCTTAAAAACTAAGAAGAAACTACAAGCGCAGGAGCACGCAATGAAATTACAAATTTAGAAGGAATGATAAACAATACAAAAATTTAAAGGGTTAAGAAAAAAACAAATAATTTGTTAAAAAGTACAAATACTTCACAAACAAAAAAGTCCTAAAAACATAAAATATATATATTGATATCAAAATTGAGAGAAATTCAAATTCCTAGGATTAAAACTCATTTACGAGACATTGTTCTTTATTAATTCTGCATGTAATAGTTATTTCGCTATCTAATGAATTAATAGTAAAGTTGCATTTAACAAAACCTTTGAATAGTTTCTGTACGAGTGTTTTATAACATTACATTTAGCCATGTTCCATCATGAAAACATTATCATTGAAATTGCCATAAAAGATCAACAAAGTGTTTACAATGAACAGAATAATGTTTTATGCACATACAATTGTTTATGAATCAAAAGATAAAAGCAATATTTTTGATTCCCAAGGTCGGTAACAAATATATCTTGAATTTAAACATTATATTGGGATGTTACACAAGTTTTATTAGAAGAATATTATAACACTAATCTTCAATCAAAATACATTAAAATATTATGTATGGTATAGACTCTCTTTATAAGTGTTTACATTTGCTAATGTAATAGATAATCTTATTAAATATGACAATAACATTTGAACCATACTAGCTGAATAACTGTTTTGCAACTTCAACAATATGAGATTCAATCCAATCATATAACAATTCCGAAGATAATGGTATTTCATCAAACATCAAAACACAGTATCTGCTACTAATACTTTTTAAAAGAAATAGCTGAACCTAATGTTTTAAATAGACACTCATAAATACCGCTATACACTTGTATCTCTGAATGCAACTTTCTCAATGTTTGAGGACATGGCAAAATAAATATTTGTCTCCAAAAATAGTAGACCTTTGGAGACTTTTTGTACGACTTATTCCTTAAATTATTGCATTGTTTATGAATCCTTCTTGTCATTACATATTGCATTCCTTGGTTGTCAAAAGTACTCCTGCGCTTTGTTCGTGCATTTTCCAGCAATTTGCAGGTACCCCCAAGACACCTATTCAATATAATAACATGTTGACATATCTTGATTATATATAATTATTGCTGCAATTATTATTAAAAAATACCTTTGCGGAAACTTGTATTGGAATAGCTAAATATTTTAACCCGCACTTGACACTTTTTTGGGTACTATAAAAACACTTTGCCATATTAAATTTCACAAATGTTCACTTAAACAAAATTAATTAATTAGAAACAACATGAGTTCACAAAGTTAGGTTATTCGTACAGCGATCAAATACTTGACAGCCACTTGCATGAACCACGAACAATTTGTAGTGGAAATTGAGTGCACATGAGCCATCTGTTTTTAAAAATTGAAACTACTCAGGACCAAAACAGTGCAACGCGCATTTGTTCGAAGATAACTCCCCATGGTAATATACATTTGTTCGGAGATAACTTCTTATGGTCTCGTCTCCACTGCACGAACGCGCACGCGAATACTGTTTTTGACATGCGCGAGGTTTGCTTTTGCTTGCAATAATTTAGTCTGCGCACATTGCAAACAGATTCGCCGTATGGATTCGTGCAATGGAGCGAGCCAATCATAGTCGCTCAGAGCGTGACTGCAGCGCCCATGCAGCGCCGTAATAAATATGAACTAATGACGGCTATCAGTGTGAGGTTTTCATGGGTTTTATATGTTTGTTAAAGAAAAAAAGATATTAAATAATTGTTATAAATAATAATAAACAAGATACAGTAATAATGTGAACGCCGAATGTTTATTGAAATTATTCAACGTACTTAAAACATAATTAAGTATATATATATTTTTTTTTTTAATTTCAATAATTATTACAACTGCTAATTTATTAACATCAAGTAATATTGATAAATAATAATATAAATTTAAATAAATAAAATTTATATTAATTTTAAATAATTAAGTATAATGATTAATTAAATAAAGAAATGCAGTAAACATTTTTAAGGTTAAGTGCCTCGAAGCTTATGTCATAATCTCGGAATAGTTCTTAATAAAAACAATATAAAAATGATAAAAATATTTTATCAATAGAATAAGTAAATAATAAATTAATTTATTAATTTTTTATTATTTTTGGTCAAACTAAAGACTTACAATAGATATTATTATAAAGACATGATTTGATTCCATCATCCATCAGATAAAATTGCAGGAAAAAAAAACTACTTTAACTTTTCGAGGCTATTAAATTGAAGGAAATATTGTTGGCAAGTAGATATAGGACTCAATACCTCGTCCGATTTTTTTCCTCTAATGAAATGTTCACTGCAAATGCGATCATAGGTCTTGGGAACCCACGGCGGTGATCCATCAACACTACAAATATATATTTTGCATTATTTCAACATTGTATTAAATAAACTGTTTGCAAAATAAACACTTTAGCGCTATGTAATAACTTTTATTTTTCTTTTAATCATAGAATTACAATTATTATATAATAAAATGTAATTAATATATAGATAATAGTTATACATAATCAATATACAATATATAAATATATATTTTTCATTATTTCAGCTTGTATTAGTTACATTGTTTGCAAAACAATTTTTTTCTAGTAAGCATTAAACAACAATAATATAACAATTTATTGACTTATAATTTTTCTTTTTGCTAAACATAACAATTTTACAACTATTCATAATACTCCTAATTGTATTTTTATGACAATAAGGTTATGATACTTACTTTAATCTTCTAACCGCAGCGATCCACTTTTCCGCTTTTCCCTTTGATTTTCTTTCCACTTAGCTGTAGAAAATGTATAGAATTTGCAGTCACTTTTTCTGCTAGTGTTTCTACAACCCACTATACAACAGCTTTGGTGGCTCATTTTTAATTATCCTATTTAAATTTGAAATAAACAAATATTTTATGTGTTTTCATTTAAAATTTCTGTTATAATAGCCAACTTTAATGCTCAAAGTAGCCACTACGAACGCTTCGGTCGATTTGACTTCCCCTTCCATGCCTTCGAACAATTTCATATATGTATTGTATAATGTCTATGGAGCCAATACATAGCGAATAGAATTTTTTTTTTTTTTTTTTTTTTTTTTTTATTATTTTAATAATTTTTACAACTGTCCTGAAACGGACAACAAGTAAAATTTTTGACGTGAAACTGAAGGCGTTGGCAAAATACAAATCATCTGACCATTGCCAGTGAATTGTCGAAGGTCTTATCTATTGTTGATTAATGCAGAAGAAATTTTCTTTTTAATCGGGCCCTGGTAGGGTTGTTCTGAAGTTTTCTCGCAAGCAAGTTTGGATGTTCAGCTAGGCGATTTCTATATTTGTGTGAGTAAGCGATTATTTCATCCTTAACTGTGCTAGTGCCTGTGTCTTTGTGTATTAACCAATTTGGAACATATTTTGGTGCTTTCAAAATTTCTTTTAATAACTTGTTTTGAAATCTTTGAATTATTAAGGCGTTTGAGTTGGAAGTTGATCCCCATAGCTGTATGCCGTATGTCCAAATTGGTTTAATGATGGCTTTATAGAGGTAAATTTTATTATGAGTGTCAAGTTTTGATTTTCGTCCAAGGAGCCAATGATATCTTCTTCTGGTTTCTTCTAGCTGCTTTCTCTTTTTCTTAATGTGTTCTTTCCAGGTTAGTCTCTTATCCAGGTGTAAACCTAGATAAGCGAATAGAAATTGATTCATAATTTAAAACTTATTTGAGTGCCATCTAACGATGCAGGTGTAAACTACGTGTCACTGAAGTGTCAAGTCGCCGGAATGAATATTTTTTACACATGTGTAATACAATTTGTTTAAACTTGTTTATAGCCAAAAACGAACTATAAATCATCTCTCAATTTAAATCAACATTTTGACCACATATTAAAATAAAATTGATATAGGGAACGGGCAAGCTCATAAAAATGTCAGTGAAAACGCCATGACTTCTCTGGGTGGCGAAAAAGTGCAAACAAGGATTCCAAACAAGATGGCGTTTGACAGGTTTTATTTCGTATTTTGACAGGTTTTATTCAAACTTATGTGCTTGTTAAAGATGGTTATTGCTTCTTATAATCGCAATTTTTATTTATTTCTAATAATAATGCGGTATATCTGAGTCACCAATCATGTGGTATATTAAGTGAAGAAAGCGCATGAATAAGAAAGTGAATTTTGTTATAATTAACGTAGAAGAAATAATTGCTTCGTTGGATATTCATTGAGGTATGTACTCATAATTAAAATGTATTTGCTATTGACCACCATATTAAAACAAACATGTGTTGCTTAAAGGTATGATAAAATTTTCAGACAAGGCCATAAGATATTTTATGATTTGCATGTTGTGTTATCAGCTGAACAAAGTTTAGATCTTTCTATTAGTACTTTGTTGCAGAATGAATCTCATATTTGATAGGATGTCAGGACTTACAGGATTTCTACACTGCAATTTGATTTGATTTATTGTTTTGTATTATTGCATTACTGCAGGTATGTTTGTTTTATTGCATAAAAAGATATTACTTTTAAAAGTTTTAGGAAGCTATTGTATCAGTATATGCACGGTTGAAGAATTTCTCCAAAATTTTATACCGATGAGCAGTATTTGCTAATATTGATAGAAGAGGGTCTCCTCCATAGATTGGTAATTATTTGTGTGAATTTAATATTACATACCTGTTAAAATTTTATACTTTAAATTATATGCTCTCAATGTTTTTTCTTTCAGATTAATTTAGGTACATATAAGAAGTATTCATCTTTGATTTCCAAAAGCTTTCAATTTATGTATTACATATAACATTTATGTACAGTTAATATTATTATACAAGCTAACAGTCATGATACATATATATTTAATCTAATATAAATTAACATTTCTTTCATTTACCATCCCCATCTTATCCAATAATGAAAGTTTGAAGATTCACCAAAATAGGACATAAAAAACAATATTTTCACCAGAAAATTGATAGTCCTTTGGTATATTACATAGAAGTTTTAAAATTTTCATTCTGTGTATGACTCATTCTACATGTATACGCACACTAGCTTCAAAGTGAGTTTAATTAATATCTCCTGGTGAAAATAATCCGTTTTAAATTTAATTTTAAACAATAGCATATGCACAAGTACTGCTATATTTATTAATTTGTCTAACTCAGTCCATATTGATGAAAATCCTGACTATAAAGTACAATTAAAAACTTTGTCTTTTTTACTCATGAATTTACCTTTGTCAGTTAATACAGCACATCCAGATATTACTTTTTTTTATTACGCCCGAGAGTACATTAATTTGGGTTGGAGTGATTCTGCCTAAGCCCACATTATTAACAAATGAAATAAAGCCATCTGGAGTGCAAATAAATAAGAACCTACTTTCAAATACCCTGGAAACTACCAACGAATGAATCTGAAAAGTAAAACCTAAAGCAATATAACTAATTTCTAACTTTCATAATTAGTGTTTTCTAAGAATCAAACTCACAAATGGATTTTTAATAATGTTTTTATGCATGTATATATGATCATTTAAGCAAATATTGATTTAATTTACTAAAGCCTCTTCAAACTTTGAACTTTCAATATTTTTCTGATTGAATATCCTTCCTGAATGTAAATAGTATGCATATTGGTAGTAGCAAACAAAATTTATATTTTGAATTTCATTATTCTTACCTCTGTTATTGTAAAATCATAAAAAATAAATGATGAAAATATGTAAGAAATATGAATTATTAAATGTTTAACCTAAAAATGCACGTTTTACGTCAAAACAAATATTAGTTGACAGCAAATTCAACTCATAAATGTGTCATCCGCCATATTTGTTGGAATCCAAGTTGCACTTAAAATCCGCTAGAGGAGAGCTTGCCCGTTCCCTATTTAATATCAAATTTACCCTAAGTGGATAGCCCCTAACATGACAATTTCCAATATTTGTTGGAGAACTTGAGCTCTGAAGTTGATCACAAGTGACAACACGATGTATTAAAAAGGTGAACGTTTCCTTTCTGTCGATAACACTCTAAGTGATAGATGGTGGTTTCGAGTAATTTCTAGTTTCGTGTCCATTTATAACATCCATCGCAAGATCGCTTAAGGTAATATTTAATATTTATTTTTAGAAGATATGAAATTTTGTCGTGTACATATTTTTATTTTAACCTTCAAAATGATGATTGTTTTTAGTCTCGTTCGTATGAACTCTTTGATTAATATTATTAATTCTGATTAATTTTTTGTTAATACATTTTTATCATTTACGAGCCACAATATATCAAGTCTTCTTTTAGGTAATCCAAAATGACCAAGGGAACCTCTAGCTTTGGTAAACGCCGTAATAAAACTCATACACTCTGTAGGCGTTGTGGTAGATCTTCGTATCATATACAAAAAAGTCAATGTGCTCAGTGTGGTTATCCGTTCGCAAAATTACGCTCATACAACTGGTCTATTAAAGCAAAACGTAGGAAGACCACTGGAACAGGCAGAATGCGACACTTGAAAATTGTTCGTCGCCGATTCCGAAATGGATTCCGCGAAGGTGGTAAACCTTCACCAAAACAAGTACCTTCAACGACTTAATTATCAAACAAATGATTAATGTGTAATGTACTTATTTATGAGTGATGTGGTAAATATATCTGTTACACATTATGTTCTTTGATATTCAAATTTGTTTTTTTTTTTGATAGATTTCAGGTGTTTTACATTAGCTTGAAATATGTTAAATACATTTGCTAGTTTTCCATTGTCGATAGTGATATCTTAAATATTAGTTTACCAAATATCAAGCATATTTTAAAATACTTAAAAACTAATCACTTAAAAATTAATTTTTTTTTACAACTTCCTGAAATAAGTTATTTATATGCTTTTTTTATATTTTTGTACATGTGAGTATAGAAATATTTGCATGTATACAATATTGACAATTACAGAAATAAATCAATTATTCATGTCTATTAAATGTTTATTATTTATGTTCTCGGGACATCTTAAATATAACTTACCAAAAAATTACTTAAGAATAAAAAATATGGAATTAACAAACATGAGAATAATATTTAAAATAATTAAAATAAAATTTACTTCTACATGTTTCTCATTTTTCTTTTTATTTAGAGTTCAGCATTGTTTTAAACAAATTTTTATTAATATCAATAATTGGTTTATTGACTTGCATTATTGCTTTTAATTTGTTGATGTTCCTAATCAAATCATTCAAAATGTTTCATGTTCTTTACATATGTGATAACCATGTCTAATGTTTCTATGGGGTGATGCCATTTCCATTTTGTAATGAAATAATTGATACTAAACATACTGATTTATTTTGTTTTTTTTAATTCAGGTGATATATTGATTTGTTATTAACACTTTTTTTTTCTTAGATGTTTTTGATATATGCTTTTGTATCTAAATTCATAAACTGGGTTTTGCACATATAAATTACAGTAGAACCTCGATTAATCGGACTAATTGTTGTCGATAAGCATTTGGATAATCGAATGTATGAAGAATAATGTCGTGTGTTTATTAAAAATAACAAATGCATACATAGATATCAACAAAAATCAATGTTTATTAAAAAATTGAAACTTCCTTATGTATGTATATATATATTAGATTACATTACATACATATACTAAATTGTAGCATTAATCGTGCAAAAATTCGAATTGTAGGTATTTACATACATAGAAATTGGTTGCGGTTAATAGTCCGTATAATCGCAAATCCGTATAACCGAGGTCCGGATAAAAGAGGTTCTACTGCAATGTAGAAACTACATTGTAGATATGCATAATGCCTTACAAATAACAATTGGTATGGAAGTATGATTACATATAATTTTTATAAGTCTGAAATATTGTTAACAAAAACATAACTTAGCAAAATCATACAATAAGTTGTACTAAACAAAAAATTTACTCTGTTTAAGCTTGTTTCAAGAAATTTTGTTCGAGTGACACATTATTGACTTCTGTTTATGAGTAATGCAATTCTACAAAAAATATTTTTATATATCCTTTATATATATATATATATATATATATATATATATATAAAATAACAAATTTTCTGTCAGCTTTTTAAAAGTTAATTTGAATAATATAATTAAATATATAATGAACTGTATAGAAATTTAAAATGTATTTTTTCTATGGTAAGGAAGAATGACTTCTCAGAGAATGAATCAAATTTAAAACTACTATGCACATTAACAAGCCAATTTTGTACTATACTAAAGGTGACAATATGTCCCAGGTTTGTTTAAAAGCAATTTTTATCTCGTATTGGGTCTTTTGTCCCAAAAAATTAATTGCCTGGCTGGCATTAGTGCTAATTTTAATAAGCGGATGATAAAAAAAAATATAAGTTATAAGACTTAACAGCGAAAAAAAAACATATCAGATTATAAAGTTAATATAATATACAATTATTCAAATAAAATGTCTATTTAAAAAAAACTTTTAAAAATTTTTAAGTTATTATTTAGCATATACCCTTATCGTCCCGGATTAGATTAACTACAAGTTGCCATTCTGGTTTTAACCTAAAAAAATATAAAATGTGTAAAAACAGATTTACTAAATTACTACCAAAAATATGAAATTTATTTGACAATTGAATGCTTGATTTTTATAAGGTGTTCAAGTTTCCACTCTAAGTGATCTAACCACAAGAAATATTACTAATTGTAAGTTGATTATATTAGAGGTCTGTATGCAGAAGATAATACAATGAAAAATTAGAAGTAGAATTTCTTATATATTTAAAAGAAATTTTATCTTTTAACATTTAATATGTTAACACTTTGTTGACCGGTTACAAGTTAACTCGTGTTTTTATGGCTGAATGTTGATAACCGGTCATGAGTTAATTCATGTTTGTAGGTAGGGCTAAACATTGCTGACTGAAACCAGATATATTTAAAAAAGCTGTTGTTTATCATTACATATAGATGATTTTTATACTATTTATCATATAAAAAAGCAATAAAAGTTTAATAATTGAAATTTTTATTGTTTTACTTCCACATGCTGTTATGATGTAATAGCCGGTGACATGAGAAATTTTCAATGAATTTACTGGTCTACAAAGCATTAAGTGCTGAAGCTATTTTACATATTGCTCATTAAAACTATTAAAAAAAAATTGGATAAAATTTTATATGTTTATTTCTACTCATACTTGAAATCTTCAAAGAAATTCATCAATCTGAATTATCAATCAATTAATTTTGTAAACATTCTTCAAGCTTATAAGCATCCTAATTGTAAAGGGATTCTAAACATTTTAATTGTAAAGTAAATAATTTCAGTGTTGAATCACTGTTCAAACACACTCTCCAAAGCTAGCTCAGGTTTATCATAACCAAGTTCCTCGGGTGTTTCAATTCCCAATTCACATAAAATAGGAGTGCATTCCTGTATAATATAAGGATAAATTTCTTTTTGCCGAGGTCCACACTTATCTTTGCAAGCCTCCAAGAACCTAAAATAAGGCATGTTAGAATTGTGAGAAGCATAAACAATTGTGTTTTAGACATCTTACCTCACTGCCAAAGCATAATCATTCAACCTACGGCAAGCCTTCATCGCAGCAATTATAATTTTTGGATCTGGAACCAAATCCATTCCACAAAGATCATTCATGGCCTTACGAGCCTCCCAGTGATCAATATCCGTTCTGTTGAAAAAGGCTTCATATCTGAAATAAAATATGTTCGAATGAAAACCATCAGTACTTTATTAATAAACGAGCATTTCGATGTTATGTACTTAAGTTACATAATCACCTGCAGTCAAATTCTTCATCTGTTTCAGTACTCCCATGATGCGCCATACGTTTTTGATTTACTGACACATTAGACGCAGGAAAAATATTTGCTCGAACAACTTTCGACAATCTTATTGCTCCGCTTCGCAACATGATTAATGGCAGTTTTTACTTTACGGTAAGTGTGACTCCGAACTCAAACGAAATGTCAGAAGGGAATTTATATTTCAGTATTAACAACCAATACAAAATAAAATAATCACGATTCGAAATAGTGTTACCCGACACGAAACAATATTTCAAACTTATTGTCAAAAATTGACAAAAGTGAAATATATAAATTTATTATTCTCAAAGGCTACTGAGTTTTTTTATGAAAATTTATTTTAGGATTATATGAAAATTTATTTACTATATATGATCAGCATTGAACTAAATATAGCAAGGATAAATGTAATAATGATTAATGAATGCATATTTAATTTAGTCTAATTTAATTTAGCTCCGTATTTCTAAAATGTTTAGGTACCTCCACTTTATACTTGTTTATCTATGGGTGCCCCACACATTTCTAATAAAAAAAGTTCTTAGTATTTGTATTATTAATAATTTAAATTAGTTTAATCACACTACACACCATAAATTCTTCGCGTTCACAATTATTTTTCAATTATCCTACCCCTAAATCTAATTCTCTCTTAAATTCGCCAATTTTACTTATGTCATCTAACTTTAACTTAATTAATAATGAAATAGACATTCACAACACTTCACCTAATCAAATAATCTCCATCTGCACAAGTTAATCTTTTTATTTTCTTTCAAATATCTCATTATTTTCTTATTCTGTTTATAAATATTATTGTTACATTCTGCATTATATGCAATTTTATCTTAGCATTTTATGTTACTAACTATATATTTTAATTGTTATTCATTATGTAAAATAATTGTATTTTTGAGTCCTCTTGGAGAAATCTGTGGGCTATATATTTAAATAAATAAATAAATAAATAAATAAATAAACAAGTATAAAAACTTGTGATACTCACGATCACACGAATAATATTTTTTGTCTAATAATATGCATTACTTATTTGGTGCACTCTAAATCTAAACCTGACTAAATTTGATATTATTAATTTCCACTAGGGTAAGTTATAGTAATGGGCCAAAAATTTTGCATTTCTTCAAGTTTTTCAGAGGTTTCTGAACATTTTGGCATACCTCAGAAAAAAAATTATGTGGGTGTGTATGTATGGAGACAATTTTTCGTCGACGATTTCAGGCGTACGGATTATCCGATTTGAATGATTCCTATTGATGATGAGACGTGCTGATTAGTTTTTGACGAAGACAGGTCTAGCGGCTTCGGAGATATTGTGCAAAAAGTGCTAAAAATTATAGATTTTGAGAGAATTAAGCATTCGAATTGAATGATTTAAAAATTTCAAATTTTGAGCAAAGAAATTTTTTTGGATTTCAATGATTTTTTTAATTTAATGCAAATTGCTAAAACTTCCCGTAACGTAACGAAATGTTCAAGGAATATTAAATGTTTTGAAATAAATTATTAAAAATTAATACTGTAACATTCTCTAATATTTGAATGATTCCTATTGAAGATGAAACGTGCTGATTAGTTTTTGACGAAGACAGGTTTAGCGGCTTCGGAGATATTGTGCAAAAAGTGCTAAAAATTATAGATTTTGAGAGAATTAAGCATCCGATTTGAATGATTTAAAAATTTCAAATTTTGAGGAAAGAATTTTTTTTTTATTTTAATGATTTTTTTAATTTAAGGCATTAAAACTTACCGTACCGTAACGAAATGTTCAAGGATCGGTTGATCCGTGTTCCCGAAATCGTCGATAAAAATTTGTAACCGCACATACATACACGCACGTACATACACACACACACATACATCCATTTTTTCTAAGGTATGCCAAAATGTTCAGAAACCTTTGAAACGTAAAGATATATAAAAAATTTCATTTTCTGGAAGTTAATAATTTGAACATAGCGCTATGCCCAGGTTCATCAGATGTAGCCGAAAACCCGCTAACAAGCTAATTATCATCAATATGCGACGTTGTAAATAGTAAAGTAGAACCCATGGCTAAACTGTCAGATATTTCCGAAAACGTCACTTTACAACGAAATGAGACATTAAAGAGCTTTAAAAAATTGATAAATGAACTGCACAAAATTGTTAAATCAAAGTCAAATATACATAAAGAAGTAAAGATAAAAACAGGCAACATAGCGGCTGTAATAAAAATATTTATTGATTTAGACAACCAATGGATAGAGGCGAAATTAACAATTTTCACATATATTCACGTTTTGAAGGTTTCTGAACATTTTGGCATACCTTAGCAAAAATGGATGTGTGTGTCCGTTTTCGGGCGCACGGATCAACCGATTTGAATGGTTTAAAAAATATTCGATTCCTATTGATGTGCTGATTAGTTTTTGGCAAAGGCAGGTCCAGCCCTTTCGGAGATACGGAGCAAAGAGTGCAGAAAATAGAAATCGAGTTTTTTAGAGAATGGAGCATCCGATTTGAATGATTTAAAACACATTCAATTTGTAATGAAGGGGAGAAGTTTTGATTAGATTTTGGCAAAGGCAGATCCAGCCGTTTTGGAGATACCGAGCTAAATGTGCAAAAAATAGCAGTTTTTGAGAGAACTAAGCATCCGATTTGAATGATTCAAAAAACTTTCAGCTTGTTTTGACAAAATAATTGCTTTTGGAAAATTAATATTTTAATTTTTGTCATTTATTTAATTCTGGCTAAAGTTCTAAAACTCACTCATATACTTTAAATAATTAATTTTAACTTTTAAAAATATTAGATAATGTTACAGTATTTATAATAATCTATTTGAAAACATTTAATATTTTTCGAACATTTTGTTACGCCTTAAGGTACGATGCCATACACAACTAGTTGATGATTGATTTGATATTAAAATATAACTATTAAATGCAGAGATAATAAAGAAGAATATCTCGTAAATGCATTTTAGTCCTAGGAATTTAGTTTTTTCTTAATTTTGATATCAATATATTCTTTTAAATATATGCATTCTTTGTCATTCCTAAATTTGTCATTCCATTGTCAATACTCGATCCTGTGCTTTTCTCTTCTTAGTTTTTAAGTTTTCAATATATTATTATTAGTCATTAAGTAATTAATATTAACAAGTTTTCCTCCTTAATTTGTAAAATATGTCTGTAATATATTTTAGTTAATATTAATCAGTTCTCTCTGTATAGTTTACAATTCTTCAAAAATATGTCCGTGATATATTTGAAAACATATTTCGTATTTTGTATGTTTCGTTCTTAATTCTAATATTAATTTTTTTCAGATGCTTTGGCTGTATTGATTATATGCACAAATGTAAGAGTAATACAAGGGGTTAATTTACAAAATGTACATGCGCTGCCATCTATAATCAAAGTTGCGCATTTCAATTAAGATAACGTCAAATTGCCAGGCATAGCAATCTATTTATACTTGTTTATCTATAGAGCCATCTATAATCAAAGTTTCAATATAATAATCTCCATGGTAATGACTATCTGCACCAGAGGGTTTTAAAATTTTCAAATGGATATACCTAAATCGAGTAAATGCCAATGCAAACCGCATTGGTTTTCACGTACACACATACTTTTTCTTGAACTCAAAGTCGAAAAAGTATCAAATTAACGTAGCACATTTTTTGGCAAAAAGTTAAAATTCTTGAAAACGTTAAAAAATTATGTTATTCAAGTACTTATCATCATGTACTTATGCATAGAAATTTCTTTGCGACTTGTTTCAATTTATGATGAACTATGGTTTTGTGTTTGCCGTGCCTGTACAAAAATCATGTGTGCAAGCGCCTTATGCATATAAATTGTGTGACTAACTTCCGCCTGCAACTCTCGTCAAGAAATAACACAGCGCACGCGGATATCTAATGCAATATAGAAGACAGAAAATATTACATGAGTATTAACATAAGCGCAACAGTGATAATAATTTAGTGTACATAAAATGTCAAATAATGGTGCACCAGAATGTTGGGAAATGCAAGCAGATAGTGGGTCTGGCGATCAAAGTAGCCCGCAAGACCCCAATGATTTGTCGGCGAAATTTTCCACGTTGAACGTAAATGCAATGGAGTTTGTGCCTTCTTTCTGTCTGCCCTCACAAACAAGTGATGTTGTAACTTCTATTAAATCATTACAATCAAGTTGTGAAGATAACTCATCCTCGATGCTACTGAATGGTAAATGTAATATTCTAGTTTGACAAGAAATATGCTAAACAATTCATTATATTTAGGTTAACTGTCTGAGATACTTACGACAAACAGTATTATTATTAACATATTTTTTATATTCTGATTACAAGTACATGGTGATCCATCAAAATCGCAAATGTATGTAACACATATCTGGAAAAGACATCTGGAAATATGCGATTTTTCTTAAATGCATCAAATCGTATGAATGGCAAATAGTTCCTTATATTTATTTCATATTGAATGTTAGATATATAATATATTCTAGAGCACTCAACCACTGATATATTAAGTTCTTTCACATCCGGAAATATGCGACATTTTTACTGCGATTTTTCTTAATTGCATAAAATCATAACAATTTATGAAGGACAAATAATTCCTTGTTTTTGTTTTGTATTCACTGTTATATTCTAGAACACACAACCACTAATATATTAAGTTCTTTCTATTTTGGCTTAATAATATTAGATAAATTTTTTTTTAATATATTATGAAGCTGCAATAACATTAAGTTTGTTCATTTAAGAAATAAGTTTATAGTTTTTTTTATTATAACGTAAGAGCAAAAAGCTACATTAATTGGATTATTACTTGAAAAGTGTGATATAAATTTGTTACATTGTATAAAATTGTATGGCATGGCCTTTAATAACATACTAGTTTTATTAATTTAAATATTTGATTTATTATAGTTACGTGAAATTAATGTATCGGTCTAATGCAACATAATTGATGAGCAACCTGCCGCCCGCCGTATGTTTTTTGCGTTTTGCCAAGCATTTCTCTACTGCAGATTAATTTTTCTATATATTTTATCGAATACGGCAGTAAAAACTAATTTTGTTCTCAGTCAAATACTGGTAAAAACAATTGTTTGTATATCCTTATAAAATAAATATTATTTTAAATATTAGTTTGACAAGCTTCAA